GCTGTATCACTGCCCCGTCTTAAGACTTTCACGGTCTGTTTCCAAAGTCTGTTCTCAGCAGCTTACCCGTATGCCGCCTTTCCCCATCTCCAAGCTTCAGTTCTTCCGAATGGCTTCGCTGAAATACAAATGTAGGTAACCGTTACCAACAGTCACCGAGAGTACATCAATACAGGTATGTGCATACTGATGGGTAGGGGTGGAACATTCTGTCTCTTCGAGGTGCATGACCCCCCGCAATGTTGAGCTAGACCCCCTAATGTTGGGCAGAATCCTCGCAATATTGGGCTGGAGACCACAACATTGGGCAAAGCTTCCACAATGCGCAACAAGTGGAATAAACATTTTGAGGCCCCGTATGGTGCCTGCTGGTATTGGGTGTCTTTGGGAAACAAAGGTTATGAATCCCCAAAATGAAGGTTTTGATGTCACTTCAACGAGCGGCCACGGACGAGTTAATCATGAATTTCGTCAGACTGAAAGCCGCAATAATTTTCCTTGAAAATATGGCTCATGGTGCCTTGAAACGAAGGTTTCGATATCTCTCAATCATAATATTCTGGCGCCCCTTCATGGGACTAAAACGTCATGAGTGACCCAAGGAGTTGGGCGACATCCCCCCCCCCCCACCCCTTTTGGGTCCGTCCTGTCTGCATAACATTGGTCCAGTAACAAGCAGAAGGATAAGATAATCAAATTTTGACAATCCCTAAGAACTCCTATCACACCCTTTAATGAAGCATCTTTTTTAGCTCCAGTGGCTAGTACTTCCGGAAGAAGTCCAGCAGATACTCAAAATCGCTGCTTTCCTACAGCCCGCTGGAACGGTCCCAAAACGGCGCCATTTGTAGATAAGCGCGGTGTCCACTATGACAGGGAGGTGATGTGGCTTATAATAACTTTTTTCTCCGGGAAGCAATCCGTCTTTGAACCAAGCCAAGATGAAAAATCGCTTTATAATACGTTCGGGGGCTTGAGGCGTCTTTAAAGAAACATTATTATGAAACTAAGTCCACCTGCTGTCCTGTGCTAGTCTTCAATAGACACACTCTCAAGGATGTTCACAGCTCAAAATATTGAGTACCGTTAAAATAAATGTTGTTGAGCACCACAACGCCGTTTTATCAGTATCTTCATGTATGTTGAAGGTTGTTGGCTCAAAACAACAACTTTGAACTTGTACATCGACACACTAGGAGCAAAAAGCCTGTCTTCCTTATTTCATGCCAAAATCATAACCACAGAGGAACGTGGACGAACTCCGTGAAGATTTACGTCTGCGAATTTAGATGGGTGAGGGCCATAGGTTTGCCTACCTCCCCCCCCCTCCAATGAAAAACGCAAAGTTCCACCCCCGCCGATGGCTGCTGTGAGAGAAATTGACGGCCAGTGATTTTGTGCCCCTACGTGTCGTAAAGAATGGTAACGTATAGCTATACGAAATTCAAAAGTGTTAAGATGGAATATCTCGGCTACACGGTGTTACAACCATAGAGTGCTCCACATTCTATTCCGTTGGGGGTTTGAATTGAAACAGCCATCTCGAAAATCATTTGGTGAGGCTCACAGCCCTGTCCTTCTAATTACCTAAACTACTCTAATTTCTGAGCTACATGACCGTCAATATGTGCAAGCTATTTCGGAGACCATTTCAAGATCGGCCAGGCATCCACGACGCCAAAACGTCATTCAAAATCTGCTATTGCAATGGGTAAGCGGGATCAACGTCAAGAAATCACAGTTGTCGAGTCGTTAATATCTGGCGTTCGTGAGCACGATTTCCAGATATAAAGGCCGTCACCGGCTGTCAACCAATGTTGTGTAAGCCAAGCAAGATTCTAACACGAATTACGTTTTCTACTACATAACGCAAACACTCATACTTTTTTCCCACTTTTTACGGAAATACGACTTATGATCTAATAACTTAAGAATAGTGTTAAAAACAAGCATGTAAATACAAGTAAATAGCTTAAACTCACGTACGAATATGCAAGGACACCACAAGAAAAGGCAGAACACAAACACAATTATGCTTGGTTCAGCAAACCCTTCCAGCACGTGCCGCCATCACGCGGGAGACTATACAACTACTAGTGAGTGCTGTGATACAAACGTTCCACGATGCAATCAAGCGATGCCGTTTCGAGGAGCATATGTACTAAATACAGAAATTTGGACGTCTAGAGCAGTTTTCCGCTTTAAACCGTACCCATAGTATGAGTGAGCTTATGATTACTATGAGTTAATTATGAGTGAGCTCACCACACCTGATGGTTGCTTCAATGTCGTCAGGCGTGAACATCCTCTTCGAAGTGAATTCCCTTTTCACGGAGCGTTTATATGGCGTATGTATGTATGTATGTATGCGTGTATGTATGAGTGGCTACCAAACCGGCCGTGCGAGATGGTCATCGTGGCGGACGCGCTGACTCACATTTAGTACTTCAACTTTGTACTAGTATAGTGCTTCAATTAGTGCTTTGCAGTAGTTTGTCGACGGGTGAGATGATCGGCACGTTGTTTACAAAGTCCAGATAGCGTCATGTGCACCTGTCTTGGCCCTTCCTCGTAGTGCTCTGGCATATCTCCCCATCATTTGTATATCATTTACTTGCATTCATGTGCTCGGTTATGTCACCTTTCTTAAGTTATTTCATTCCCAGATCTTATTTCTTTCATAGCTCCTACCATTGTCTAACCTACTGTATTATGCAGCACAAAACGCTTATTCGCGTTCGAAACTTGCACTGAAAGCTTTACAATGGTTGAGAACAAATTAAAGCCCACGATGATATTTTTCCTGGCCTTGGATGGCACATGGCCAATGAGATGGTAGCGTTCGGGTGACGTTTATACTGGCGCCATGCATGTCTAAATGACCTTAAATAGTCTGCACAAATTCGTGCGCGTCAAGCTCAGAAACCCGACAAATTTTAGTCTTAAGGTCAGGGATGTAAACCGCATCGACGGCTTTGCCAACCTGGCCATCCCCAATTCAAAACCCAACACAAATGTGGAACACTCCCTGTAACGGCATTGGAAGCCGACCGATCCCTCCTGTGTGCACAGGATGGCACGGCATACCACGCTGTTTGGGGTAGCCACGATCCCCACGCAGCAGACTGAGAAGTTTACACGCGTGCGTCCCACTTATGGTGGTGTGCGTACCGTGCTTTATGTTCCGCTTGTAGTGGCTTACCGTAGACAGCTGTCCGACGCGTCTTACTCCTATCCCCCGGTCAGACGCAAACGGTCGTGTGATCACGTCAGGTACCTCACTTCGAATATAACACGTTACAAGTTGCAATCATGCTGAGCAGCCACTTGTCACTTCCAACGAAGAAAGGTGGCTCACAGAACAAATACTGCAGTCCATATAGACCACACACTTCAACCTTACACTGACTTGCAGTTCGATCAGGCGAAATGATATTGGCGCACTATTTGAAGTTGTCGTGGCTTCCTCAATTCTTCTACGTGCACGTGGGTCCTGGATCGTTTCTGGGTTCTTCCGTTCATTACCAGTACGGTCAAGAACGAAGGATTGGCAGCAGCAGCGGTTTCTATTACCTTTATCAGTGTTTCTTTATTAGTCGCCATTGAAAGGATTGACAAGTAAAAACGCATATTCCTGCGAAGCAACGTGCTTCAGTAACGGTGCGACCCCCGCATTGGAGACGCATTTATTTGTGGAAGTGTGCCATTCGATATCTCGCAACGATCAAACCCGGAAGTTTGCCAACCATTTCAGCGATGTGACCCTCGTGTCTATCATTTCAGCATTGCTAACGACGTAATACATTTAATCGAGCCGTTCACGTTCCGTACCTGATTGGTCGGAACCGCGAGTGCTACAGTCACTCCCGTGCTCGCATGAATCGCGGCATCCCTCCTCACAACCAGGCAGAACCTCACGGGTCGCCGCCCGTGAAGAACACTACACACGGCTACCCACAGCTCCGAAAATGCCATTCCGCATGGACAACTGGTTTGTATCACCTCTGTATCCGTCCCCACACTCATCAGGCTCACATGGACGGCTGTATTACAAAACATCAGCGTAACGGTGAGAACCAGACGTAAATGTCTTCACAAATAACGTAACAAACCCAGAACGGTGCACACCCGTCAAACCGTGAAATCAGGGAAAGGTGAAACTTTCTGCGAATACAACGCACATCACAAAGGTAGTGCATAGGAAGAACCCCATCAGACAAGCTCATCGCGCCCCACATGGAAGTCAACCACAGCATAAGCTCTCGGCCTGCATGCCACTGGCCCATATACCCGGTACCGCCCTTCACCACGGTTCTGTCGCGTGCCATCCAGCAACGGGAGCGGCAACCAAGGAACAGCCAGCATGAAGCAGTGGCAGAGCAAGTGACAGAAAAGCTCAGGCAGATCATATTTACGAAACAGCGCGAAGCCATCAGCCCGCGTATGTGCTAGTAGGATTTTATCACAGCTGTGCACGCAACAGCACAGACATAAGCTAGCCGAGACTTCTCTCACACTGAGGTTCCGTCAAAATAACCACGCGCCAACGCGCACAGCTCCGTCCTTGGCCTCCGTCCCCACAGAAGGCCACCACACCGCTCCTCCACCCCCACCTGCCCGCGTAACTGCGCTCCGAAATGTCAACACACCCACCATACATTTCCACGATTTTGAGACGCCCGCCCCGGCGGCAGACTGGCCCCACAGACGACACCTCTTGAGCCTGCCCCCATCACTACTGGAATATCAGACCCGGACGGTCGGCCAGGCGGCCGCGGCCGAGACCGCCCCTGCCGGCGGCGCTACACACCGACGTCCCACCCACACACGCGCCAGCCGAGGCGGCCGCCGCCGGCGCCGGCTGCGCCGTTCCCGCTGGAAGATGACGTCACTACGCCCGTGACGCTCGGCCGTCACCGGCGGGGCGTCACGAGCCACGCGCGGTCCGCGCCACGTCGCGCCACACACGCCGCAGCCGCGCCAACTCGGCGACGTAGCGCGCGAACAGCGGCGGCCGCGCCATGCGTCGCTGCAGCCGCCGCACCAGCGCCGCCTGTCGACCGGCCGCCCAAGCTGTGGTTGCGCGGCAGGCCGCGTCACACTGGCCGAGGAAGAAGGCGCGGCGCACGGCGGCGCTGGCGTTCGCCAGGACGAAGCGCAGCAGATACGCCAGCGTCAGCGGCAGGTTGGGCGGGAACACGCGGCTCTCCGACTTCCTGTCGACACCCCGGGCAGGGCTAGGGTCAGGGCCAGGTCAGGGGACGAGCGGAGGTGCCGGCGGATTGTCGGAGGGCACAGACACCCGATTACGGCAGGGGAGCTGTCCCACCCACACCACGGCAAAATAAGCGTACATGCTATGACGTTGAAAAACAAAGCGTGAAAGTGAATGCCGTATCTGATCCCGAACGCCTTCTCCCGCCGTACAGAGGACACAGCGTGAGGGACGAGCCGGTAGGTTGGGACGATACTCCTGACTCCGTGCCTACGGCCGGAGCGGAGCACACCTCCCTAGTTCAGCGAGAACCAGCATCTCTCGCAATTTCTGCGGGCTGGAGCAGCCGACACTAACTGGGACCCATTAACAACACGAACGCGCCAGTCCATCACGCGAGCGCCGTCGCGCTGTATGGAAGTGTAACAAGCCCTGGGCTATTAGAGTGATGCGAGGATCATTTGGGAGACCTCAGCGGGCTAGCGGCAGCAGCCAGGTAACCGCTGTCAGGCGGAGCCAATCACATATGACAACAAGGAAATGCCAATGGCTGCTACAAGGAGACTGACTGGGAATTTTACAATTCATTCTGCCCCCCTATAGCTGAAACGGAAATATTTCAGATGCATGCCTATCTGAAATACGCCGTTGCCCTACAGACAACGGAGGCGCAGGGATGTCCCAAAAGGTTGGGTTCACCTCGGCGCCATGTTTTCCACTAAACTCCAGCGGGTTGGCATCGGCCTCACACAGATGGTGGTAGCGAAGACGCTGAGCACCTAGGATCATTGCGCATGCGAGTAACCCGACAATTTTCCATCTATTACCTGGTTGCAAAGCAGCGACAAAACCATAACAGTGGAGGATAAAAGCTAGACAACACTTGACACACGCTCACAGCTTAAGATAACAAATAAAACCCCTGAAAGCCATGGAAATTTAGCCCGTGCTGCACAGTCCACGCTGATTTCTGTAAGAAACCACAGGCCACGGCACTGCCGTGGACCTCGCCACACGCAATTGTCACTTACCTCCACGCTGGAAGGTACATTATCGTTGGGAATGATTCCAAAGAATATTCCCAGCGCAGATCGTTGGCAGCGCCATCTATACGCGCAAACTGCAGCCCTGAGTTCAAGAACAGCCGCATGGCGGCCAAAAATACGTGGTTTGATGCTGAGCAGTGTCCACAGCCGACGGAGTAGAAAAACACGATCACATCCTGAAACAAAGTGCGTCTCAGCTTCCTCAAACCACAACACACGGCGATCAGAGAAGAACGAAAGCTTAGGTTGCCGTCGCCGAGGGAGAAGAACACTGGACTCAAAATCTGGCGGCAATGTCATAAGACAAGTCTGTCCGTCACCTGGTAGCGCCGGCACACACAGAAACATCAGCTGCCACTATCGCGGTGGTTTTGGGAGCTGGCATCTCCCCAGAGCCGCCGGCGACGAACTCCACAGCTGCAGGATCGAGACCCCGCACCAGACTGCGGTCACCCGCGGGCCCTCGCACTCTCCAGTCCAAACCGGCGCCTCACCTCGCTCTGGTTGAGCGCCACCGGACGGAAGGTGTCCGACGTCAGTTCTAGCGGGCCGGCCAGCGGTGCGCCGGGCCCGCCGCTGGCCGTCCGCCCGTCAGCTCGCCCCGCCCTGTCGCAGCACGCCCGGCCGCCGCAGCTGGACGGACCCTCGCAGTGCGCCGCGCCGCCCCGGTGAGACGGGTCAGCCCAGCGCCAGCGGCCCTCGTCCAGTGGCGAGTCGGCGCCCTCCACAGCGTCGGCGTCGGGCGCCGCGTCGGTGGCGGGCTCGGCGGCCGCGCGCGACACCAGGTGACGCCGCAGCCGGCCGGCGGCGAAGTCTGCCGCGAAGCGCGCCAGCGAGCCGGCCGACACCGCCCCCCTCAGCACGTGCTGCGTCTCCGCCTGCAAACCGGCGCCACTCGGCTCGAGACGGCTCAGGAAAATACTGACCGCTTTGGCAATTCAGGGCGCACAGGGCAGCACGGGTCCCACCCCGCGGGGGAGGGATGGATCTTGGACATTAGACACAGGTCTGGATCCCAATAAACTGACTCCACGACCTGGAAGCTGAGCCTAGATTCTGTTATTAAAACCAACTTAAGGATCCGTAATGCAGCCCAGGACTGCAGGCACATCTGGCGCGGGAGCACACAATCCGGGGCGCAACGTCTGCTGCGGAGAGTGCTCACAACGATGGAGCACACGTCTGCCGGTGGGTCGAGGGACCGCCTACGCCACTGACACACCTAATCAGTGCATACCTAGCAAAACCACCCAGCTCACGCTCCCCACACCAGCCGTCGCGGTCAGGCCTATCCATGATGCACCCAAATAAGCTGCCGTCCCCGGTTCATGCGCCGCAGGGTGCCACCACCAGATCCGCGCGGCCGGCGTGCCCACCTGCACGTCCAGGATGAGGGCGCCGGGCCGGTCGGGCGCCAGGCCGAGCCGGCGCACGAGCGCCGCGTGCCGCCGGCCGTCCAGCAGGTACACGCTCAGCGTGCGGTTCGTGGCGCAGCGCAGTCCTGCCGACGGAGCGGGGCAGGTAAGGCGCGGCCGGCACGGACCACCAGCGCGGCCGGACATGCTGGCAGGTTACCGCTGTTACAAGTCTGCACAGACTTCGGCGAGAGGTCGCCGGTGACAGCGGTGGCCGAGCCGCCGAGCCGCCGCGATCTGAACTGACACCGACACGGCCCGATACCAGACACCGACACGGCCCGATATCAGACACTGACACGGCCCGATATCAGACACTGACACGGCCCGATATCAGACAATGACATGGCCTGATACTAGACACTGACACGGCCCGATATCAGACACCGACACGGCCCGATATCAGACGCTGACAGGTCCGATATCAGACACCGACACGGCCCGATGTCTAACGCCGACAGGACTCCGACATCAGGCACTAACGCGGCCCGATATCAGACACTGACACGGCCTGATATCCGACACCGACACGGCCCAACGTCCGAAACCGACACGGCCCGATGTCTAACACCGACAAGGCTGGGTGGGACACCAAGCCCGAGTTGACACACGGCTCCAGGCCAGCGAGTGCGGCTGATGGCGTGTTAGCCCAGGGCCAGCTGACCTGTAAAGTTGGCCACAGACGGCGGCTGCACCGGCTCTTCCGGCTGCGCCTCCTCCTCATCCGCCGCCGCCGGGCCGGCGTCCTCGGCCAGCAGCAGCGCCCCGCAGCGCGCCCGCGCCTGCTGCTGCACCATCTCCCGCAGCCTGACCACAGCGGGGAGGGGGTGGGTGAGCGTCGAGGTCAGACAGCGACGCGCCCGGTGGAGACACCGCACAGCTGCTCGCCGCCGACCACTTTCCTCGGCGTATGGCTGCGCCGCGCACAGAGGGTGGAGAAGTAGGCACACCCACAGCGAGCCAGCGCAGACCGGGACCTGTGACATCAGGTCACGACGGCACGGTATCTGCGCGACGCATTGCCACAGGCTGGCCTGGCGGGAGCCGCCTGTTATGAGACACAGATGTCAGGAGGCAAACTACAGAGAACGAGAGCGAGAGACAGAGACAGAGACGGATATGTTTGCATATATATATATATATATATATATATATATATATATATATATATATATACATATATCTTTGGCAACACCTTGCCAGACACATCTTACCAGGGCCAGCGACATACCACTGGCGGACAAATATCCACAAATGACGGTACATCCCGGACTCAGACTCCCGACCTGCGGCACACCTCCTTCCGGCCGCACCAGCGCTCCGCTCCCCCTCACCTGACGTCCGGATGTCCGAGGATGTCCCCATGCGGCTGGCCGGTGTCCGGCTGTTGGGCCGGCCAGGGTGCGTCGCCGAGGTCGGCGGCGGCGGCCCGCCGGCACGAGGCGACGCCAGCGCGCTCCACCGGCCGCAGCACTGGCGACACACGCGCGCGCGCGCGCACCGTCAGCGCATGTTGAGGAAGCCCACGTGGCCATGATCTGGGCTTCAGGGTGCGCCGACTGCACCGGTCATGTGGCGCCCACAGACGGGCGTGGTGATGCGTTGCCGACAGATGTCTGCGCCTCATACAGGCACGAAAGGGAGGCTCCGAGCCTACCACTGATGCCAGAGGCGTCAACAGGCTGGTGAAAAACTGGTGAAGCATAACAGCCACCTTATTCTAAAGAACACTGTGCACAGTGAACGCTGGCTAGCCGGGGGCAGGGGTGGAGGCGGGGCGGGGAAGGGAGCACATGTTCTGCGTTCACAGCTGAAAGTGTGCTCAGTGTTCTGGCTCCATTGTTACCGGCAGCAATCGACATTGCGCTGGAAAACAATGCGTTGGACTGATGGAGACGGTGACGCTCTCGCTTTGCTGCACTGCTCTATCGAATGAAAAAAACGGGAATAGAAGGCGGAACACATTCAAACGACGAGGTAGACCGGGACAGTACGTACAGTGTGCGCCGGTGGCTTTGTACAGACATTGCCAGTGAGATGGATCTTTCTGAGCTCACCAGACACCCGACGGGTACCGACTGGCCGCGCCTCACGCACTAACCTGCTAACGTACTGGCGATCCGATCGCCAAGGTTGACCACCGCTTCGGAGCGGTTACAGTTGTTGTATTCAAGCCACATGCGGCGAACCTGGCGGCAGAGAAACGAAACAGTAGTCCGTGAACTTTAAACCAGGGGAAATAAGCGCGGAGACGGAAGCACGCACAACTTCTTCGGGTTTCTTTACGTCGCATAGTGTTCAAGCATCGAAACGTCGCACGCCAGTCCTCGCGTGCATCATCAACAAGACCAGGGGAATACTACCAAACCATCGCACTGCCGGAGCAGCAGCATCCGAATATCAGGCCCTAGACCGAACAAGAGAACAAACAGTATCCGGGATTACACCGCATCGGGGGACATCCCACATGTAACCGCACCCTTAGCCTGGAATCTGTTTGGCAGCCGGTCTCAGTCACAGCGGGCCCAACTCCGATCTCCCCCTCCCAGTCTCCATCTCTCGCTTCCGGTCTCCATCTTTGGCCCTCAGTCTCCATCTCTCGCCACCAGTCTATCTCTCACTTCCGGTCTCCACCTCTCGTTCCCGGCCGCCTCCATCTTGCGCTCCCAGTCTCCATCTGCCGGCCTCAGTCCCCTCTGGGTCCCAATCTGGCCCGGTCTCCGTTTGGGCGCCCGTCACTGGCTCCGGCCACCCTCCCCGTGCAGTCACAAACCACCGTGGCGGCGAGGTGGGCGGAGGGTCCGTACTCACGGGTGCCGTGGCGGCAAGGTCGGCGGCGGGCGCCAGTGGCCAGCGCCGGCCCAGCACTAGCAGCGCCGGCCCCGCCGCCGTCACCGTCTGCAGCAGGGTAGACTTGTGCGCGGGCAGCTCCAGCCAGCCCGCCATCTCGCGGCGCCGAGACCACACGTAGTTTTGCATCATCTCCGCCGACAGCGCGCCCGTCGCCGGGGCCTTCAGAACCTGTGGCGGACGGAGGACACGAGGCTACACAGCGGTCGCAGACAGGACGACAACGTCTCAGAGTGGCGACAGTACCAGACGCATGTCCCTCATGTTACCCTCCTTGCTGACAAATAACGCACAGCGTCTAAATCAGCGTACGTCTGACGACAGAACATCTCCAGCTTCCCTGAACGACGGCCAGACGCGTTTCATGCACTTTCCTCAGATCATAAACAGATACTAAGTGCTGGAGCTGAAGCAAATACAGACACGTCGTCACCCGCCAACAGCGGCCGCCCAAACAGCCCAGGGTGGGCCTTTGTTTTGACTCCAGAATTCGGGCACCAGATCTCGAGGACATTTCGGGCATTTTGTGTCGAAACATCAAAACTGTCATCTTTAACCACGTGAATATGTATATTAAAGAACATTTGAAATAAAACAGATAAAACGAACAACAAACGAGAACGCGCGGGTTGTATAATGTACGATGGAATAAAAAATACTTCAGTACGTCCGATCGCCTCGTCTCCTGAGGTAATGGCCAGCAAACAGTGCAAAATACCGCATGCTATACACGAATGATTAAGCCCGCGGGCACGGCATGCACGAAGCCTATGCTTTACGATCCCGGCATCGCCAATTCCCTAACCGGTCCATGCGGGGAGACGCCCGTCCGCTGCCGCTTACCGTGGTGCCGTTCCAGTTAAAGACGGCCAGGCCGCCGACGTGGCGGAGGCCGAGCCGGGCGGCGGCCGGCGCGCTCGTCACCACCGCCCAGGCCAGCTCCGAGTCGGGCTCGGCCTCCAGGCTGCGCAGCGCCGCCCGCAGCAGGCTGAAGAAGGCGGCCGGCGCCCGGCCAGACACGAACGGCGTGTAGCCCACGGCCACCGCCTGCGGCAGCCGGCCGGCGGAGGGGCTGTCAGCGCCCGGTGTACGGAGGGGGGGGGAGGGGGCTGTCGGCGCCCGTTGTACGGAGGGGGAAGGGGCTGCTAGCGCACGGTGTACGGAAGAGATGGGGACTGTTAACGTCCGGTATACGGAGAGGAGGGGGGGGGGGGGGGGGGCGGGCTGTTAGCGCACGGTGTACGGAAGAGATGGGGACTGTTAGCGTCCGGTATACGGAGAGGGGGGGCGGGGCTGTTAGCGCACGGTTGTACGGAGGTGAGGGGGCTGTTAGCATCTGGCGTACGGAGGGAGGGGAGAGGGGGGGGGGGGGGCTGTTAGCGCACGGTGTACGGAAGGGATGGGGACTGTTAGCGTCCGGTATACGGAGAGGGGGAGCGGGCTGTTAGCGCACGATGTACGGAGGGGGGAGGGCTGTTAGCGCACGATGTACGGAGGGGGAGGGCTGTATTGGCGCACTGGTGTAGGGGCTGTCACCCAGGGTCTGTCAGCACCTGTAGGTTATGGACGCCACATGACCAACGCGGTCGGTGCGTCCCAAAGCCAAAATCATCATCATCGCTGTCAGCACGTGGTGTACGTAGGGGGGGGGGGGGGGGATCGGCACGTTTCGTCACCATTCTGATAGACGGCTACACGCTTTGGGATCCCATGTACTTTTGGGATCAGAGGGCCGCACTAGATGTATAATTAAATACTAGGGATAATGTAGGAAGCCATAATTTGTCCTACATGTTTCTGCTAGATTCGAGCCCAAACTGCAAAACCTTCGCAAGGTGAATATCAGGACGGTGTCATATGGCGCATCCAGAAGGCACAAGTACGCACGCCGGAAGGCAGACAAATCCTGCGCCCAGAATTGGTCCCCAGCGCCGCGCTTCACCCAGTCGCGACGCCTCGACCCACGCCACAGCCCTCGCGGCGCGGCGGCGGCCGCGGGACTGCCGGGCTCACCGTGCTGGCGGCCTGCAGCCGGCTCAGGTCGGCGGCCGTCTCCAGCCGCACCAGCGGCCGCAGCGCTCGCTCCACGAACCGCACCATGCGCGCCGCCTCCAGAGGGCCCGAATACTGCAGACCTGCCGGCCGAGACCGACCCCAGCTGAACACCACTGACCCCAGCTGAGCACCATCGGCCGAGGACGGGGACCACTGGTCAGAGCTGGGAGATGCCGAAGAGAATTAGAAATTACCAAATAAAGTTGGGAGATAGCCAACAGTGTTGAGAAACACCAGCCACGGTTGCGAAATGATAATAAACAGTTGGGACTCGGGAGCTATCCGTGAAAGTTGAGATCTAGGCCTAAGTTGGGAGACAGCAGCTCGATTTTCGGAGACACCGAACGGATTTGGGAACCACCTGTGATGGGGACCGCTGAGTCGCGGTCGGGTCCCCGCTATGCAGGCGGGTTGGCGGAGCGGGAGTTGAGGACCACTGGTGGCCGCACAACAGCGCGGCTGGTGCTGAACAGTGCGGGCTAATGATGACTATAAACCATGGTCTGCGCCTGGCACCAAGCCACGTCAAACATCGCGACCCTGATACTGCAGACAGTTGCCAGGCCGTTGCAAACGGGAAGAAAATGACTGGACGAAAATTCAGCCTTTGGGCGTGCTGCTCGCGGCGCTCACCCGTACAGAGCACGGAAACATAGACACCCAAACACAGACAAATAACAAATACGCCAAATAACAACACTGCCAGCATGATCTAACACAGAGTCCTAGGCGACCAACACGTGGTTTATGTTTCTGCTACGGTACCCGCGGCTCTCTCCACAATCCCACGGCTTTCCTGTTGGTCGGCGTCATCAGCATCACAGGGAGATGCTACACTCACATAGATCGATGGACAGATCGATACCAATAGCCAACAGAAGTGGAGGGTAGTTACACTGGTATTGAAATATCTGCCACATCGCAATACATGTGTGAAATTGCGGGCTTGTTAACGAAACAGACCATGTTTCACAAATGCAATGATTTTTTAAAAGATCATTATCTTTCTTTTCAACGCCCGCGCGAGTACAGCACAGATATTTCACAGCCCACCGAGCGAGGCTCCACTGCTCGGAGCTCCCGCCGCACAGCCCCAGGGACGGTCGCTCCGCTCCGTCCGGGCTCTGGCAGAGACCCCAGCGCTGCGCGTGCTGGGAGTCCGGGGGCGGCGGCGCTCACCCCGGCCGTGGCGCAGGTACAGCACCAGCAGCGGGTACGCGGTCACCTTCTTCACGTCCTTGCGGCAGGAGCCGGACACGTGCCAGCAGTTGACGGCCAGCACGTCCACCTGCGGATGCGGAGCCGCAGTGACAGAGCTGACACTCGGATCATAGATTTGGATTACCTTAGAACCCTTGATGTCTAAAAATCAGGAGCTGAAGATCTTTCTTCCTCATACCATGTTTTGAGATTGGTCATGCGTTAGATACATCATGATTTTCTGGGCGGAAATGTGCAACGCGTTTACTTGCAGTTCAAGAACGGGAATGGCTATTCAGGACCTTAGCATTGCACACCCTCCCTAAGACAACAAATCGCGAAAACAAGGAATGTAGAACCAAACATGGTGTTCGGCACGAGACGTTCAAAACTTGATGTCGCCGTCCTAATTTTAACGCAACGACTACAGACGAACTCTTGGCAGTGTATGATTCCCGCCTAACCACATAACACAACCCCCAATTCGCAGCGTTTCACGCGACACTAATCAGAGCCACCTCACTCCGTTCAGGACGTCCAACATACCTTTCCATTAACATGCCCCACCCAACAGCCCCCACCCGCCTCCGCGCGTGCCACCGTCAGCCCGCTCTCCCCCGCGGGCGCACCTGGTCGGCCGTGGCGCGCGCCAGCCGCTCCAGCTGCGGCCTGGCCGTGCGGCACGCGTGGTCCCAGGGCGCGTAGAAGAAGAGCAGCGTGGCGTGGCGGCCGGCGGCGCGCCGCAGCGCCGCCGTCAGATCGCCGGTGAAGTAGTCCGTCACCGCCGAGGCCGGCCCGAAGAACGGCACCGCCGGCTGGGCCGGCACCACCGGCAGCAGCAGCGGGCTGCGACCAGGGGAGGGGGCGGGGGTCACGGACCGGAGCCGCTCCGAGACGGCGCCGGCCGGACTTTGACTGCGGCGATAGCCGGGAGCATCACGACTGCGGGCCGGTGTTCCGACTCGCAGTTGTGGCGCGCGGCTGTGGTGCAGATTTTCTCCAGGCATGGCGTGTGTCACTGAAGGATGGATTCCAGCCGGTTCTTTCATTATAATTGTCGGCAATGTTACCTGCAGCCGCATGCATTCCGCTATGATGTGGTATCCAGTGGCGGCGCACGGCGGCTAGGCTTCCGTCTCCGTAGTCCGATTTACCCAAGAGCATTGTTTATCGACATGCCCACGGCGCTATGCACGAGATTGACACCGAGATGATGGACTTCACACCGGACAGCATTCCGGGCATTCTCAAGCCGTGACTCGGTACTGCACACATCCGAAGTCGTGACCTAGTACTGCACACATCGGAAGCCATGACTTAGTATTGCACACATCCGATGACGTGACATAGTACTGCACACATCCGAAGTCGTGACTCGGTACTGCACACATCCGAAGTCGTGACTTAGTACTGCACACATCGGAAGCCATGACTTAGTATTGCACACATCCGAAGACGTGACATAGTACTGCACACATCGGAAGCCATGACTTAGTATTGCACACATCCGAAGTCGTGACCTAGTACTGCACACATCAGAAGCCATGACTTAGTATTGCACACATCCGAAGACGTGGCATGGTACTGCACACATCGGAAGCCATGACTTAGTACTGCACACATCCGAAGTCGTGACTCGGTACTGCACACATCCGAAGTCGTGACTTAGTACTGCACACATCGGAAGCCATGACTCAGCACTGCACACATTCCTAAGCCGTGACCTTACACTGTCCGCACGTCGCAGCAAAGACTGGTCCCAGCGCCATCTCGACCCCCGCCAGCAGCGGCACGGCTCTATGACACGACAGGCGGCGGCCAGCACCTCACGCAGCGCCCCTGCCGGAGGCGCGCGGCGCACACCGAGCCGGCGCGGCCGGACCACGCCCGCACTCACCCCCTGCTGACGGCGGCGTACACGGTGAAGGCGCAGCCCATGACGAAGCAGAGGCGAGCGCCGATCGCGCCGCGGCGGCCGCTCATGTCGGCGGCGGGGGCCTGGAGGCGGCGGCGCCGGTCCGCCCTGCCATCGGCCGCCGCCGCGCTACTGCCGCCCATCGTCCATGGTCAGCGCGCGCCGGCGCCGGCCCTGCCGCCGGGCAACGCGCTGGGTCAGAGGCGGGCGTCGCCACCACTGGAGCGCGGCACGAGCGCACGGGGCCGACAACGTACGCGGGACCGTTAGCGCCGCGTTCCCCAGTGCCAAACGCCGTTCACAAGCTGCAGCCTGTGACGTCACTGTGGCGTGCGTCACGACAGTTCCTGCGCCTTAGAGTGCAGCGGATTGTGTGTGACGAAATAGGCAGAGCCCAGGTGACGGCAGCGCACGTGGCTCAAGCGGCGGTGCTTCGAGATTAGAAGATTGCGAGCTCATGTCCCGTTGATGGCGGTGTGATCTCATCACAGCCAGGGCAGTCAGCTCTGGTTCTCAATGCATCATACAAGCACGCCACAAAAACCAGCCGCTCTATGGTGAGAAAGCATAGATCGGGAACACCGTGAAACTCTGCCCCCACATAAGCAGATTACTGCTTACTCCTAGGTCCTGTCAGGCACGTAACGCCATGGCAATTCCCGGGAAACATAGCCAGATTTACATCTCCTTGGAGGATAACAGCTAGAAAAAAACAAAAAGCTTGCACAGCGCACGGCTTCCGTCTACCCCGTCGCTTTCTGACTCGTATGTAGCGTATAACCAGCGAGCAGTGCAGAGCACCAACACTGGCTGGGCCGTGTCTTTGTTCGACCCTGCCCCACCCCCTGCGCTGGAGCCGGCCCTGCGCGACTGCCGGAGGGGGCCACGTGATCTGGCCTGATCCGGCCGTCCCGCGAGGCCTGCAGCGGTGGCGTCCAATGCCCGCATCAGTCCGAGCGCAAGCACTGCTGGTGTTCTTTCCACCGATTGTTTAACTCTGCTAATGCGGTTGATATAATCACAACCAGGAAGGCTACCGTTTAGGTCGGTTATCTGTCCAACCCTGTTAATGCACTTGATGTAACCCTGTTGGGGAAGCATTATTGTTTTGCCGATACCGAAACAGTGTCTTGTGTGGTTAGCGTTATCAGACCCGACCTGCTCGCTCCAGCGTTATTTCCAGTACTCACGCGCTGTGTGACAAGCGCCTCTTGCTCTGCCTCAGCGGAACGGCCCAGCGTTTAGCGCGTCGAACTCCCACGCAGAGGGTGGGGTGGGGGGGGGGGGGGGGGAAGAGTCGAATTCGGTTGCGCAATGGCTCCCAAGCGCTGATATGGCCTATACAGCCGTTGGCGCTTCGTAGAAGGGCGCGATCACATGCGTCAATTCCCCTAAAATAAACAAAAAAACTTCCACTGGATTTCCGCACGGAGCAACTGTGCCCCTGGCGGTATGAATAGGATGCATACACTATCTGCACGAGAAGCTTGTACCTCCACTGACCTCCTCTAATTGGGCCCCTGTTCGCGACTATATACGGCTGGTTTACGACTCACTGAGCAGCTTATTACATGTGATGTTGCACGCCATACGCATCAACCTGGCAGGAAGAGCGCGAACTACGGGGATCGGAAGTTCCAATCCCCGTGGTGGGTTCCCATTCGGAACCCACTCCTCGTGTCCGAGACGCGTAGTGAAACCACTTGCACCGACATGATTTATATAGGGAATTACTCAGCTTGTCCTATTTCCCTGAGCCATGCCATCATGCCTGAATTTTCAGGGTGCCATTTCCACAAATATCGATCTGATCTTGATAACACTTAACATGCGCTCGGGTCGGGGTCAATTTGACCACCAAAGGTATTTCCGCAATGTTTTTCAAATGCCGCGGCGCAACCGTGCCAAATTTTGTATAGCTGTAGACAGTTGAATAGAGGATCGTTTGGTACCTAAAATGTAAAAAACCTTGTAAGGTCGTTGGCCCACAGCAGGTCAAAGTCAGGCTACGGATTCATCGAAATCCATTTCTAGGGAATTGTTCAATCTGATGTAACAACGGAGTACTAGACGTAGTTACACATGCCTGATATACTTTCTAAAGCAACAAAACAATTGAACAAATCAACTCCGTTGAACTAGGGTCCGGTGTAAAGGTCATACCAAGGTCAAACCAATCTGTTTTATTGCTCTAGGGCTTGCTGTATGAGGCAGTTTCTGGCATCCACTTCGAATTTAGTGATAACATGAGCCCCATTATACATCTTCCAAGGGCTTCTTAAAGGTCAGAATAGGTTACTGACCTAAAATAACCCAGGTCAACATTTTGCAAAAACTCAAAGCAGTCTCATATGACTTTGGTTACCATGACCTTCAAAAAGTAAAACATAATTACTGACCTTAAATAGCATGTGAGCTTCTGCTTACCACAAGTATCTAGGTTCTTAGGGCACTAAGACGTGCAGGACAAAGGAGATAAATGTTACAAGAGCCAATACAAAAGCTATAGGATGTTGCCATGTGATACAATCTCAGCCTCACATTGAGCATGAGACAGCAAGTTGGTGTTACATGGGTTATCCTGGTCCGAAGCTGGTTAATCACACAAAGGCATAATATGAGGCGGTCAGGACTTCCAGCAGGTGACAGATGGAATGTGTTGTAGTTTGGTCTAACATTATGGTGTGGTATGATGTAGTTTGCTCTAGCATAGATGGTCGATGTTCTAGTTTGGTCTAACATCTACCACCTCTGCGTGAGGCTGACAGTGTCAAACCCCAATGAGAACATATCACTGGTGTAACAAGTGGTGTGAAATGCAGTCCTGTATGTGATGTTGAGCCACCTATAAGCCAGACCATAAAACTACATGCTATAATGAACATGTCTGGCATAGCAGGAACATGACACTGGCAATGTCAGCTTACTTAAGCTATAAATCCAAAACCTCTAAGCTCAACCCAGGTTTGGTGTACAGCCACCAATAATTGATCTGCATGAATAACTGATGTTTCAAGACATCATGATGCTGCCAACACAAATGAAAGCAGGAAATGATCATAACACTTTCTCAACTACATAATTTTAAATTTAAATGCAAATTTTGACCCAAGTCCACATCACACATCCTCCAGGTTCAATGCCAGAGTTTGAAAAATCATCCACAACCAGTGTGCATGTGGCAATTGCGAGCTATGCCTTGAGCTCATGTACACTAGCTCAGCCCCAGCTAAATGCTAAGCACTGTCAAACTATGTTAAAATCAAAAATACTTTCACAGCATCTTAGCTCAAATATACCATTGAAATATAACTTATCGAAACACAACACTCTACAGGTATACATGGATGGTGAATGTATCAAGATCTGAACACTAATTAAGCATGCACATGCACTACAATTGTTGACACAATGGTGCTGCTATACCTGGTATAATGGTATGCAAGACTCCTGTCAGAACAAATTACCTCAAACAGTTCATAAAAATTGTTGTCATTGTCACCAGAAAGACATATACCGGTCAGAACACACGTAAGCCGGTACTAGATACAATCTGGCCTGCTTAACACGCCATTCGCATCGTGTAAGAAGCCTACAGACCCGGCTTAAGCCCATACTACATTCAACCCCACCTTACCTAAATTCGCAGACTGCGGACAATGGGCAACCCGGAAGGATGTTTGCCAATCATTGAACGCTAAAGAGATGCATAAAATATATTTAGACTAATGCGAAATCCGGCAAAACAACTGAATCCAAAACGCCCCCATCAATAACCAATCCATAAATGCCAGCATCTGTAGCCAATCAGCGCATTTGCCCCCACCATGAGTACAAATATGACGCGTGTTTGCGCCACGCTGTCAAGGTTGTAAAGACAGTCAGCTGATTACATGACGTGTGGTGTTGGTCGTAATAGTACGTAGCATTTGAACTGAAAAATCCTGCATTTACTCACCGTATCAGTTCTATTTCCGCAAAGCGTTGCAATGGATCAGGTTGATAGCAGATGTTGTGCAAAAGGAACGGAAAAATTATATTGGCCTATTTATTTCTTCCCCATCCTTGAACCGCATGTACACAAGTTTACTTACAGCAAGAAACAAAACAAAACAAAACATAAATGAACCATGCGGGACAGAACGAAACCCGATGAAACCAGGCGGGACCAAACGGGACCAGCCAGAGCCGAAAGGAGTGAAACGCGATAGGGCGGGAAAAGATGGGTCTAGGGGGCTAAACGCGATCGGACGGGACAGGCCTCGTCCGCACGGGAAAAGACGAGATTGAACGGAACCGGACATGGTGTGGACAAGGGTCTGTCCAGGCCAAGACTGGACATGCCCGGGTGCTTCCGTCTTGTTCCATTCAGCTTCTTCCAGTCTCATCCAGTCCCACCCGGTACTGGCTGGTTTGGTCTGTCTGATCTTGTTCGATCCCATCCACTCCTGCCCGGCCTCATTCAGCCCCGTCCAACCCCATCCCGTCCGTCCATTTCCGTCTGGTTCCGTCCTATCATGTCCGTTGCTGGTCCAGGCACATCGACCTCGTCTTCTCCGATGTCGTCCAGTTATGCGCCGTCCGGTGCTGTCTGGTCCCGTCTGGTCCCGTCCGGTTCCGTCCGGTTCTCTCCGGAGTTGTCTGGTCCGGCCCCGTCACTTAGGTGCAGTGTAGTCTCGTTCGGCTCCTCTTAGTCCCGCCTGAACCCGCGTGCTCACGGCCACTCTCGTCTGATACCGCTCGATCCCGTTCGGCTCCTTTCGGCTCCACTCGGTCCCGTCCGGTCCCACTCGGTCCCGTCCGGTCGCATCCAGTTCCGCAAGGTCCCGGACGCTTTGCGACGCTGTCTAGACTCGTCCAGTCCTGCCCGCTTCCTTCTGGTTTCTTTTGAAGTCCTCCGGTTCCGTGCGGTTCCGTCTGGTCCCGCCTAGTCCAGCTGTTCCGGTGTGGTCCTGTCTTGTCCCGTCCCATCCCGTTTATTCCAGTCCGGTACCCATTTGGTCTTGTCTGGCCTCGTTATTCCCGTCTCGTACTTAACTGATCGCACCCCTGTGTGCAAGTAACAGTTTGGTATGGAATTCCTCAAGTCGGC